CCCTCACTAAAAATCCCATTAGAAGTTTAGGGGAGTCCTTGCCAAAAGCTGTACAAATGGCCCCCAGATTAATAGTAGTCAATAAAAAGAGAATTCAGTGGAATAATGAGTGCCAAGATACATGTGTTGCCCAGCTCAGACACACTTTCCCAGAGCACTTATTTCATGTTTTTAAAGTACAAGAACCGTGAGAAGCAATTGCACCATGTGAAGCAGCTGCTCAACAGTTGGAATATGCTCTGACAAAAGAGAGCTTTTTTGCTGGGAATAAGTGCTGTTGGGGACACAAACCTTGGTTTTGATGAGGACAGTTCTCAAGCTAAAGCTGATTTAAGAGATGTGTTGGAGGAATACACGTCTAAAATGAGTGTTGGCTTTCAACGGATCAAAAGGATTAAAACAGGCTACAAAAACTGATAGATAAGAATATCAAATGAAACTATGGGAGGAACTGGTAGCTGCAGGGCAACATAGTGATAATCAATGTTTGTTGGGTAAATTAAAGCTAAAGGGACAATTTTTTTAATGTAATTCCTGATGTGTATATCCCTGAAAATACATGGGGTCTTGTTTTTTAAGAACAAGTTTAATGCCTTATCTACAATGGTGTAGGAAATGGTAGCTTCTTGTTGAAGGAAATGTTATCTGTTAAGCTACAGGTAGATCATTCTCTCACTTTTGAACCTCAAGTAAGATATCTTTACTGAGAAATGGAAAAGCCGCCAGCCTTGGTTTTTTTTCTCCTGAGAAATCTTCAAGGAATTCACTGACTGGTGGTACCCAATTCTGACCAATATTTTTAATAGAATTATTTTAGAAGGCATTTATCCAAAATATTGGAATGAAAATACACTGGTCCTGATTTTAAAAATAGCAGTAAGAGAGATCTCAGGTCTTATCACCTTATTAGCCTTATGTGTATTCCTGCCAAAATACTTTAGAGACATTTAATTTTTCACCTTCAGCCACGGATCTCTGAAAATAATACTTTGGGAGAAGAGCAGGTTGGTTTTAGAGGAGACTATTCCTGAATGGGCCATTTCTTGGCGTTGTATTACCTGGCATCTAAATATGTTAAAACACAAAATCATCTGTAGATGATTTTCTTATTGGGGGGAACCCATGATAAGCCCTAGAACAGTGGTCTCCAAAGTGGGGTGTGCAAGACAATCCATTGGGGTGCGGGAAGAAAATATTAGAACTTCTATTTCTATTTCTATTTATCTAAATATGCATATATTGGGGGTGCGTGTGCAAACATTTTTTACTGATAGGGGTGTGCAATCAAAAAAGTTTGGAGACCACTGCCCTAGAAAATGGCAGCTGGTCCCACAGTTTGTCTGTGAAATCAGCTGGCTGCTTCCTCAAGTTGGGTAGACCCCTTAGTTTCCCAACGAAGAAAGGGATATGGCAAGGAGGGTGGTTCTGGAAGCATCATGGGCACGTATACTGGTGCCAGATGTTTGCTCTGTGTGCTAATTTGCTCCAGCAGCCTCTGTGTCACGTCTATTCAGTGTCCCTGCACTTCAAAATGGTGGCAGGGACACGAACTAAAGCTCAAACTTCAAAATGGTGATGCGGGCACTCAAACTAAAGTGTGGGATGCTGAATACACATGATGCTGCAAGTGCTTTAATTAGAGTGGCTCCAATTAAAGTGTCCTAAGAGTCTACAGATCCAAGATACATTCCACGTTATTGTATGGAGCAGCACTTGGGTGTTGCCTTATGGTCCAACTGAAAAGATTTCTAATTATTTTTCAAGACAGCTTTTATCTTTACCTAATTCTATGAATGCAGGATTTTGGGGGTGGGGGTGGGATGGGGTGGGACTCATGTGCTCTGAAACTGGACTTATAAATGTGAGCAGTTAAGAACCCTAACTTAGCTCTTTTACATCTACCAGATACTGCAAGAAGTGCATTTTAGAACTGCTTCTCTGCCAAATGAACCCTGGTTTGGATGGCTAACAGATATCCATACTCTCCTCTAGATAAATAGTCTGGGAAATGTCCTGACCTGGTATTTCCCCTGTACTTAAAACAAGACATTAATTTAAGAATTAAGGATGCCATCATACTGACAGATCTGCTGGCAGTGAGACTGTCTTGAATTTCCCCTTTTTTAAATTAATAAAACGCTCCTTTGGCCCCAAAACCTATCTGTCGATGGTGCAAACTTCAAATAATGAGAGGCCACCACTAGATTGAGATTCATGCTTAATGAGAACTGCATGTGGTGTTGGATTCCACGTCCTGATAGAATATGTTGTTGTGGGAAGAACAAGATTGATGACCTAAATCATTATTTGTCGTCTTGTTTGTTCTTGGAAGAAATAAGGAAATCTCTCTATTAATGGGAAAAACTAAATACTGGGCTAATGAGGAAAAAAAATCCCAGTCTGGCTTCTTTCTAACACTTTGGAGCCTTTCTTACACTCCTTAGAAGTATTTGCGCTACTTGAACAAAGAATAAGGGCCAAAATCAAATAGCATTTTCCTGTTCTGTTCTCTTTTTCTTGTCTCCATTTTACCTCTTCTTTTAGCTCTTATACATCATGTTCTAATTTAATCTTGTGTAAACTGGTAGAATGGATAATCTTGTATGCTTTTAGTAAATATTATTATTTATATAAATGTTATTTAATTTTTATAAATGTAATTTTTATTGCTCATTTTATTATACTGTTTTGGTGAAAGCTATAAATATACTACTGCTACTTTGGTTCTCTGCTTCCACAACACTTGCTACAGGCTGCCCAGGAGTGTCTGTGGAGACCAATCCCTCTTCCATGGACTCTGGCACTGCTCTCCTGCATTTTCTCTGGAAGGCAAAGTCTTCCTGTCACTCATACTCCAGTATTATTGCCTTGGCTTCCTGTAGCTGTTACACTAAATTGGTTTAATCTGCCAGCATTCAATAGCTAACCAATGGAAAGCAGCTAATGTCTGGTCAGTGGCCCCCTGACTGTATAGACTTTAGCTGTGTTAGTTTTACGTCCAGATGAAGGAGAATTGATTTCTTGCTTTTGGCAGCAGTAGCATTGCTTTTTTGAGGTTGCTGAAGTAGTCAGGATGGCAATACAGTGCTACGTACTGCAATATTTTTAAGCCTGAAGGCACTTTTAGAAATTCTTTCTAAAGGGCAAAGAGTTCTTACTGTCCATTATTTTACTGCACATATCTTAACCCTAAAATAATTAACTATCCTGATATATAATAGACTTTGCTTGCTCTTCTGCTCTATTTTACTTTAAAGGTGGTTATATTTCAACCCAGTGAAGTTATTTAGGCTGTAGGGGGAATGATTCACACTGACTGTGCTATATGCAATGCTAGTGTTCACTTCCTTGGATTCTGCCCTTTGTAAACACCTTGCACACCACATAGGTCAGAACTTCTGTCACTAGAGAGAAGCTACCACAGTTTGTCTCATCTTCTCTCAGTTGTCACACTTGGAAATGAAAGCCTCATTGGTAAGTACAAGGGTCTCAACTCGAATTCATGAATGTTTGCAAAACCATCTCATCACCTGGAAAGCAGGTATGAGACAGGATCTTAAAGCCCAGAAAGTGCAACTTACATGAGGTCACCTGGCCAGTGGGTGATTGCGTTAACTACAAATCCTTTAGCTTTTGTTCAACTGACGAGATGTACCTGTCTTTTAGCTTCCACTGTGTTAAGTATTATGGTATACAGTAATTATTCTGCTTAGAAGTGATCCATGAGTTTGGTCTGCTTAAGGCTTCTAGTTTTAATTCTAGTTATCAATGAGCACAGCATCTAAGAGCTGCAGGAACCTCCTAAGGAAGTCAAACCTTCTTGTGCTGTGTCCATCAGCTCACAAAAAAGGAGATGAAGCAGCAGCCAGAGGAAATCATCATCTTTTGACCCACCTGCTTACCCAAATGTGAAGTGGTCAGCTGTTCAGTAGGCGATATTGGTGATGGCCACAGGTATCTAATTTAGATCCATTTCCTTCCCACAAAACTGCGAAGTCTGGTTTCCCCAGGCCCAACAGGTTTAGTAACAGCTTTGCTCACAGCACAAAGCTATAAGCAGACATCCCTTAGTCCAAAGCTGCCCGCATCTAGTCTTTCACCAGAGGCCTGTTCTCAATGTTTTGTGCAAGCTGGACTCGAATGTCCTTACTATTTTCTCTGGTCTTTTCTGGCTGCCTTTCACAGATGTAGAAACCTTCACAAAACAATACCTAGCCCTTCTGCCCATGTGTGCCTTTATTTTGGGTGGGGAACCTAGAGGGCAGCAAATTTACAGATGTTTAGGGCTGGAAGGGATGTTGTGAGAGCAACGGGTCCAGCCCCCCCGCTCCAGAAAGCAATGATGCACATGCATGTCTTCAGTTCTCTAGTGAAGTTACTATTACATGTCTGGGGCTGCACTGCAGTTTGGTAGTACCCACTCCATGGTGCACCATGCTGTACACTTGCTGGGATTTAGAATCACAGAAAATGAGGGTTGGAAGGGGCCTCAGGAGGTCATATAGTCCACCCCTCTGCTCAAAGCAGGACCATCCCCAATTAGATCATCCCAGCCAAGGCTTTGTAGAGCTGGGCATTAAACCTCCAAGGATGGAGATTCTACCACCCCTGTAAGTAACCCATTCCACTGCTTCACCATCCTCCTAGTGGGAGTTTTTCCTAATACCCAACCTAAACCTCCCTTGCTGCAACTTGAGACCGTTGCTCCTTGTTCTGTCATCTGTCACCACTGAGAACAGTCCAGCTCCATCCTCTCTGGAACCCCCCTGCAGGTAGTTGGAGGCTGCTATCAAACCCTCCCGCAGTCTTCTCTTCTGCAGACTAAATAAGCCCTGTTCCCTTAGCCCCTTAACTATTTTCTTTGCCCTCCATTGGACTCTCTCCAATTTCTCCACATCCTTTCTGTAGTAGGGAGCCCAAAACTATTTCTGTCAGAAGGCAACAAAACTCTGCAGCCAATAGTGATGACGCTTCGCCTTCAATAGTTAAGACAACACTGGTTTTAAAGCAATTTTTTTTAGTTTACTTTGATATGTACTAGATAGAAGGCAACATTCAAATGGTACAACACGGTAAGGAAGACATTAAAATGTTACAGTAAAACTTGTTTAAAGTACAATTAAACATTAACATGGCAATGAACATGCAGCAGCTTGCAGAGGCAGGGACAGTGCTCAACAGTAAATACACTTTGGTATACAGAAGACTAAGCAGCATTTACAAGTTAAGTTTTGGTTGTAATTTGAATTATTTAGAGCTGACAAACAAGCGTTAGCTTAGCAAGCCCTACTCTGAGTATATAAACAGCGTTGTACTCTATTATTTGGTATCTACATTAGACATCAAACCTAAGGCTCCAGATCCAATTTAAAGAAATTTTGATTGTTAAAGGCTCTGTGGCTCATGACTCAGGTCTGTCTAAATTGCACAGTGACACAAACAGCGTTTCATATTTAGCAGTTTCTGCTTTGAAACGCAATTAAATATATAATGTCCTATTACATCTTCTTTGATACCATGTCACTTATTGCACTATTACTATTTCAGGCTAACTTTTAATGCACCTTTATACCCAGGTTTAAAGTCTAGACCTCATTGATTATTTTGCTTCCCAATAGATGGAAAGAGTATGTTTAAGAAAAATAGTTTGAATTTCAATGTATAAGAGCAAAAATGAAAAGACCTATACAAATTAATAAGGTTTCACTTTTTCAGTTTTGCTCTGTATATGGGAGCATTTTGGCGGAAGATGTGATTACAGTGATACAGCTGATGGAGAGCTGCATAACTTCTATTTTTTTAAAGCAGACTGCAGGTGGACAACATCCCTTTACTCATCATGTGCTTTACATGAAAAAGATAAAATGTCAACATAAAAAAATGTCATAGGCTGTGCTCATCTGCATACTCAACAGGCAGTAAGTTTGCAGACATTAGTGCAGAAATATAATCATCTGATATTCACCTTGTCCTTCCAAACATGTACTATTATTTGTCATTTACATTGACAGTTCTAATGTAATCCACTGAGTTTAACTGGTAAGAGAAGAAAACCTTCCCCAAATCACTGTTGCCGTTATTGCACTAAAGAGGTTATTCTGCAAATACCTCTTTAATGTGAATGAGACACTTAACTACAGCTCCATTTCAAAAGGTGCTGTCTGTACTCTGCTGAAGCTGAAATCCACTGTGGGAGGAAGGGTCAGGACCCTGTAAGACTGAGTCTTCAGTTCTTGGACAAATGTCTTAGCCAATAAGCTGCCATTATGTTGTTGAACTTAATCTAATATAAAAGCTTCCCTGCACACTTAAATCAGAGAACTCCTTCTTAAGAGGGTGTTTTGGCTTGCATAAGCTTTTGAGAGATGAAAACAGAAAAGCCACCACTGAAAATAGTTTTGGTATAGTATAGCTTCACCTTCTCTAACTTACCCTCTCTTTTTAAGCCAAGCCAGGTCCTGGACACCCAGCACATAATGGCCCAATTTTCATTGGTTTTGTACAATGTAAATTACTATTGGATCCTAAGGAGACAGGTAAGCAGGTATCCAGGAAAGTGCTTGATGAAGGACTTCTATATTTCCAGGCCACTAGAGCTAGGAATAGATGTTGAATTTGTCTGCAGGTAAGTTGTGCCTGTGTTTGTCCCAGAACAGAAGTATCTTGGGATTGATATGTACATATAATCACCCCTCCAACTGGGGATGAATGTCACTGATTTGACAATGCAATCCCTGGTTAACCATTCAAATGTACTTTGCAACATCCTTGAATAAACTGTTAGCACTTATCCTGTTAACTTTTTTTTTAGGATTCATCTTAAAATGCATGCAACATCTAGTTGTAGTCTAGGTAGCAGGGAAACATTTAATAATCTGCCTGCCTTAAGTGAAAAGTTGCCTGAAGCATGACCTCTAATATAATTTCTTACATTTAAAATAAATTGCTGTTGATTATAGCAACTAGCAGCTTAAAACAGAAGACCATATCAATTTGACACACACATGAAAAACAACAACAGAAGTCAGACAGACATAAACCATTCAAAAAGGCAAGTAGTTTGACAAGCCCTAATACAGCAAACTAATTTTATTTATCTGGGAAGGACTGTTGATGTTATGACAGTAATCAAGTATATATTGGTAAGGAAAAAAACTTTTTGCCCTGTTAAACATACTAGAAGCAAGTATAAGGACATGACATGTTTAACCAAACAAGATTAGGAATCTCTTCTCGGTTATGCCAAGGAGGGTTTAGACACCACAATGATGCAAGTGATACAACTTGGTTCCTGTTCTGCCAAGATTCTGCACGGCAGTTTTGACTGAACACGAGGATTTATAACATTAGGCACTACATCTTTTGTTGAGTGGTTGATGGAGGTTCAACCTTGAGTTGCAATGCTGGTGTGCAAGGGCCAGAAAGCCAGCTATGGGTCCCAGCCTCACGAAGAGGAATCATTAGGTGCTGAAGGACTTGTGCAACTCCGACACCAAACCTCTTCCAGATACCCCTTAAGGAATCCCTGGCTACCACCTATGCCCCAGTACTTTGACAACCACCATAATACCCTCTTAGGACCTTTGATGAATTGACCTAAATTAGTGTTGTTCTAGACCAGGTGTGCTCAACCCCCAGGCCATGGCCCGGTGCCGGGCCTCCCTCTCGCTGGGTGAAAGTGTCTTTATGGTTGTTCCAGCCGGAAGTGCCGGCCATGGGGCCCCACATGGTGTCACCAGAAATGACTGCGGAATGACAAACTGTGGACTGGAAGTGACAGTCCACATACAGCAGTCCAACAGCCAAGGGTTGGCTGCCAATCCATGGCTACTTTCAGTCCGCGGTTTGTCTGTCCTTGATCTAAAAAGGTTGGGAACCCCCTACTCCAGACTACTGTTATTTAGGTCAGGCTGTAACCTATCACATAACCAGGCCAGGAGTGGGGGAAGGATGATGAGGGATAGGATGCTCCCAAGATGCCCTTTGCTTTTTTTAGTACTGCACGTGAACTGTAGAACATTAATGTTACAGTGAAGAACAAAATCAGATCTTTTGAAACAAGACAAATGACAAGCTAATTAAAAAGTGTGCTTGTTCAGAAGATTCATTTTCCATGTGCCATCCTTGGCTGCAGTCACATAAATAACATGCTTCAATATTATTCTGTTTCCCCAGCAGAAGTGTGCCAGTGTGGGCAATCAATCAATCAAAAATGGACATGAAGTGGTCAGTGTTAAGTGTATTTTTATTTTAATAATGCTTGTATTTATTTTTAAAAGTGCACCATAGTAAAAGTATTCCTTTGTATGTAACAATAGTTCAGGGGCTAAATACCACGTAAGCTTAAGTGGATTGTCAATGCATTATACCACATACACTTTTAAACTTTTTCAAGACTGTGACCGATATTACTTGAACTGCAAGGTACTTTTGAAACATAAAAAGTCAGAACACTATCAAGAAGCAGGAAGTTACTTTCAGGTCAAAAGCCGAGCACCATTCTTTGGCAGAAAAAACTATTTAATTAACAAGCTGTAATGCGCATAACTCTTATCACGTGCTATAAGCTAGTGACCTACATAAATGTTTACTTACCCTCTAGTCTTTTTGCTTCTATTTTCTATACTCATCTATTTTAAAGACTTAAATTAGAAGGAAAAAGAGAGCACTTTCTGGGAGAGATTTGTTTTCTCCTCCTAATACACTAAGTCAGCTCCTAATGAGCTGTAGGCAGTGGTGAACAGTAAGACGCCACTAGTAACAGAGCAGAACTATTGCTAGAGGGAGCTCTTAGAAGATGCTTCTTTTCTTTTAAAATCATCTTTAATTTAAATGGATTCCCATTATGCACAAGGGTGTTTCAGCAAGTTACCACCATTTCTATTGTGGGCAACTATCATTTACTGGACCACATGACTTCTCTACAGTTGTAAATGATGGTATGTTCAACAATATCACCATCCGTGTTCCCTGCTGTGCTCTTTCATCTCTCATTGTACAAAAATGGTTTTATTTAAAAGTGTTTATTACAAGGGGGTTTTGGAAAGTAATTAGAAACAAGATTACAACTCTAGTCACCCACTCATCACCCACTTCTCTTTTCAGGCTCCAGTACATTTCTAACTAATGGCAGAGACATTCAGTTGAGGCTTTACATTTTACAAGATCCATTTTGTGTGTTATGGCTTACAGGGAACTTCTGAAAGTCTTTGATGTTGTGCCCAAGGCAAAGGAAAAAAAAGGATTCAAGAATGGAAGACCTTTCTAACTGAAATGCTGACAGGGGTAGATCTGAATTCAAATGAAATTACAGAGTACAGCTGTATTGGTTAACTTTCTAGGTAGCAAAAACTGCAAGCTATTAGTAAGAGAAACAGGTCAGCGAAGTTAAGGAATCCTGCAGTGCAAGAAGAAATGAACTAGAGGGAGGTTCACCATTTTCCACAGTTTGGACTGCGTTTAAAGAGCATTTCATGGACCAGCTCTTTTCCACTGGTATTGTCCAATTTCCCTGTAGCAACAATAGCAATTGCTTATATGTTAACATCTACCATAAGGTAGGTGTACAGGTATAAATAATATGATTTAGCAGATGAAAACAAGGGAAGTTGGAACCATGCAACCAGCCAACAACAGATAGCACTAGCAAGTATTTTGAAGGCCAGCAGCATAGGCTACAGTCGGCAACTGCTGAATTTTAGAACCTACAGGAAGCCTTAGCGCCAAATTGTAAAGCTAGACAGATCAGGTTAAGAAACCCCCAAGATGATTTTTCTAAGCTGAAGAGCTGGCATTAAAAAGAGTTTTTCCAGGTAAGAGTTATAAGGAAAAGTTTAAGGGTGGACTCTAAGCATATGCTCTCTAAGATGTTAGAAGTGTTAGAAACAGGAAGGGAACTGAGGAAAGAAAAGTAAAGTAACAGGAATTGTAATCAGCAGGATGCAGATGTATTGCTTATAGCTCAATGGAAGGATGCATTTTGTCAGCTCTCCAGCTGCAGGTTTCTGCTTTTCTGGGAAGTATGAGGGGCATCAGTGTCTGAACACAGTAGGAAGCAGTTTTCTCTACGTCAGTGTTTCCCAACCAGTGTGCCATCAGAAATGAACAGGTGTGCTGCAGAATTTTGCCATGGCAATGAGCTACAACAGGTATGAGGATGGCAAATGTCTTAACAGGTATGGTTTGGAAAATTTTTATTAATGCAAGTATGCCTGCTCTGTATAGTGTTTGGTTTTACTAAGACCACAATACCGTGGCAAGGAAGTCACAGAACACTAGTCTTGGTAGTTATGAAAAAAAACCCCTCACTGACATTTGTGAAAGACAAATCTACATACAACAGATACTGTCATAGAACATTTCCCCACCCGAAGTATTGTCAGGTACAAGAGCACATGCTAAACAATGATGATTTCTAAAAAAACCCAAGATATGGTTTATTTTGGTTAGTGATGTGAATATTAAACCAAAAAAAACCAAACCAAATCAATTCAGTTCATCTACAGAGTAGAGCTCTTCTTAACTACGAGTTCCTTCAAATTTTTAAATATGTAATTTCACCTGCCATGCATTCAGTTCAGGTTTGAAGACAGGATTCAATATAAAGTCTGTTTAGTTGTGGATTTACATAGATATGCAGGTAGAACACTGATGACTATACCAGCATTGAGAGTTAGGCTGTGATTAAATTTGGTATTGTATCTGGCGATATAATTTACAAGTATTTCACAACCTTTGACTTCCAGTTCTAATATGGGGATTAAAATACTTTGATCTATTAGTCTTTAGAAACAGCAGCTCTAGGCCAACCCCAGCCCTGGTCTAAACTCCAGGGAAGCCAATGAATTTCTAGTCTGTGATGAGTGCAGGCCAGTGTTTTTGGAAGTTGGGTAACATAGGTCAAACAAGACTGAAACCATGAACTTCCATTTTTCACTTCTGGGGGAAAGAGACCAGTCAAGCTTAGCCAAAGCTGGGTTAATGTGGTACACTGCCAGAAAGCTTATGGTATCCCTTTAGCTTAGGTGACAAAATTAAAATTAAACTTGCTACTTTCAATCAGTCAAGTTTAAATGCAACATCACAAAACAGACAAAAACTGCAAATATACTAGTTTTCTCCAATTATTCAGACAAGAAAGAATATATGTAGTGCATGAAGTTGATCTCCAGTATGTCTGGACAGGAAGTCTCCCACGGAAATATAGTACTCAGAGTACTGTCATAGTCTCTTGACCAAATGAATCTTTACATACACATATTTATCTGAAAGCAGATAAATATTAGCTTAATGTATTAGAAACACTGGATAAAAAACACAGAACAGGCACTAGTGAAGGCCTAATAAAGCAGGTTTTTCTTCACTGGGGCATATAGCCCCCTTGTCTTACAGTCTGTGGCAGGTAACTTTTTTGCATTTCCTCAACTGTTCCTGCATTTATCCCCAGCGTTTCAGGGATCACAGTCTGCCCTTCGGTACTTGGGCATAAAGCACCTGCCAAAGCAGCTTCCTGCATATTCTTCTGTGGCTCAAAGCCATATGACTGTGAACTTTGACCTGAAATCTGCACTGCAAGTCCAACAAGATCCTCCTCATTTATTGGAGGAGTATTTTGCTTTGCTCTTTCAAAATGCGAGTCATCTGGATTAGTTTCATTTTGACTGCAATTTTGCTTGAAATACTGATGTCTTGGTGATGTACCATCACCTAGATTGTCTTCTGATCTCTCTTCTGAATCAAGCAGAGGCTGGGTAGATTCAGACCTTGAGAAAACCTGCACAGAAGGAATCTGGTCTCTGTAGCCATTGAGCACTACAGTCGAATACTGTACAGTGCTCAAAGTATTTTGTGTAGATTCACCTTCATCACTGTCAGAAACACTTTGTCTAGGAGAAGACATGCATGAGGATCCTCCAATACCACTGCTATGTCCCTCTGAAGTACTTTTCTCCTTTTTAAGCAAGTCAAAAGGTTTTAGATCCTGTTCTGAAAAAGACTTCTTGTCATCAGCTTCTATTTCAACAACACTTACATCTGTAAAACTGCCTTCTGGGTACATCTGATCTTTAGAACTAAAGTTGTGCTGAAAGAAAAGAAGATAAAGAAAAATTCATCAAAAGAACAATCATTAGGTCTTACTTTTTGTTCCTTAAATGCTTGGAGGTCTCTGCATACCCTGCCCCTTGTAGAATTCAATAGTTATTGCTGAACACTTGTCATTAAGCAAGGGGGGGGAATAGCATGAAGGGTAGGGGACAGTAGCATCTTAGTTTTTCAAGGATCAATCTTAACCCTATGGATCTTTTAGAGTGGGGTGGATGATTTATTTAGTCTGGAGGGCTGCTTGAGTTTTGGCGAGCTGTTGAGGGTAGCAAGGATAGCCCTGCCCTTTGCCCTGGTTGCCATCTTGGGACTGGAAGTCCTGCCCCAACCCCTGAACTTTGCCACCAGAAGTCCCTCCCCTTGTTCCAGAAGTACTCCTGGGGGGAGGGCTGCCATGTTGTAACTAGAACCCCCCCCCCCCATCGTACACTAAAAAAACAAAAAACAACCCCCCCAAACATCTCCTATAGCTTATTTTAAATTTTATTTAAAAAACATATTTTGTCCTGATTTGTGAGTGTTACCACAGCATATCTAGAGGTGATTACATAATAGCTAAAAATACACTCTTACTCTTGTATATTGGGTACAGGGGATAGGAGGGTGCATATGGGGCAGGGTGATTGGAGGGTGGGTGTGGAGTGCTGTGGGTGTGTGGTTGGGCTGGGAGGGTGTCTGTGTATGTGCGTGGATATAGTGGGGGGGGTGTGGGTTATGGTGGGGGTGGTGGGAGGTCCCATTCTAGCCACAGCATGCAGTTCCCAACTGCAAGGCCAGGACCCATAAGGTGTGGCATGGGGCCAGCCCGGCCCATCCCAGCACAACACTGTTCCAGCTGCAAGGCCGGAACCCACATGGAGCATCATGGAGCCAGCCACATGGGTGCTGGCCATGCAGTGGGGAACTGCGTGCTGTCAGGAGAGACAGGACAGCCTGGGCTGACTCAGCGCTGTGTTGCATGGTTCCCAGCTGTAGGGCTAGGACCCGCATGGTGCGGCATGGAACCAGCCTGGCCAGGTCCAGCCTGTCCAGGTAGCATACAGTTCCCCGCTGCATGGCCACAATCTATGTGGAGTGGCATGGAGCTGTCCCGTCCCCTCCCAGCAGCATGTGGTTGCTGGCTGCAAGGCTGGGACCCATGTGGCATGGAATGGGGCCATCCTGGCCCAATGTGGTTCTGGCTACAAGGCTGGGACCCACACGGCACAGCAAGGAACTGGCCCACCTTGGTGGCATGCTAGTGTCAGAACCAAAGGAAGTCCCACAACATCAGGCTAGGCCAGCTCCATGCCTCCATGCCCATCCTGCCCCCACCCCACTGGTTCTTATGTGAATTTCAACTCTAGAACAAGGGAGGGCTAGAGAACAGCCACAGGGTCACCGGGACAGAAACCTCTGTCAGCCAGAAGCTTCCAGTCTCTAGCAGCTTCTGAGAATGGGGCAGGGTGAGTTGGCTGCATCGCAACTACAGCCTAAGCCACTTGCTGTTGCAGCTGGCACCTCGTGTTGCCAGAGCCTCGCTGGCTTTCAGATAGACAGCTATTACCTGCCAATAGCTACCTACATTTTAGAGAGGCCCCGTGGGCACAGTAGAAAGGTTTGGTGGACTGGATCCAGCCCACAGGAGGTATCTTGTCTGCCCCTGTTTTAGAACCATGGATTCCAGCAGGGGGAGTCAGACATCATTACTCTTTTATGGTACTGCAGAAGAACACCTTGCTGGGGTCGTTTGACCCCAGTACTCTTTCCTGCCATGGCAAGTGGTCGGACTAGATGATCTACTCAGGTCCCTTCCGCCCCTAGAAGGTATGAAACCCAACACCATCCATTATAATAACAGAAACATTTGAAATTAAGGCCTTATATATCAGAGGCACTGACATTTCTTATCGCATATTCAATATCTCAACACTATTTGTAGAAGTTTGCCCCAAGACCTTGACCACAATTTCCCTTGTTCAACCACCATGCAGTCTTCCTGCAGCAACATCTGTATATCTTATCTATAGATAGCTTATGTGCATTTTCAATTTTTATTCCATTTCCTAAAAATGGTTTTGCAGTAATATAACCTCTTTGACTTTACAATGAACAAGAAAGCAAACAGAACCATGCCCCAAACATTCAAGTGTAGGAAAATGTGTATTAGATGCACTGCGTCAAGTTCTTATTTGGGCTTTGAGCACCTTGCACCTAAAATTACATTAAGATTCACATGAATGGTATTTCATAGAATCCTAGGTCATAGGATTAAAAGGCAAGGAAATGAGGACTTCAGACATGGGAGCTCTTACTGGTCAGTTTATTATGAAAGGTTCAGAAGAAGCTAATCCTTACCTTCACTGGAGCTTGTGGGGACCACTGAGCAATGTTACTCTTGGAAGGATCAGGCACATTTGGCCAGATATACTTCTTAATTCTGTGGAGAATAAAAACATTGAAAAATATATTTCTTGAACCCTGAACTCTTAACCTGAGCTGAGTTCTACTTTGCATTCCTCACATACAGTATTGGCCCATCAGACTCCTATTTGACAAAAGCTCTAGAGAGGCTAATTTTGTCCTGTCCCATCTGATGTCTGGTGTATTCATTTGCACAGTACCCCTATCACCTCTCTTTTTCCAAGTTGTTCCTTATACTAAGTCATTTTATTGCAAGGACCACAAGTTTTTAGTTATTTGTAAAGAATTCAGTAAGGAAGCAGCTGGTTGATCCAGAACGTCAGCATATAGTGAAAACTAAGGGCTGGAAAGAGAAGCTAGTGTTTTATAATGCACTAAACTCTTAAACATATGAATGTTAAAAAGTAGCCCTCAACTACTGTTAATTATTGAGCTAGAAATCCCCATCTCTTCAGGAGACGCACAGGCCCGTTTCCCTCCTCATACTTGTTTTACCTTAGCATTTGCTATGGACAGATGTGCCGCAATATTGGGACAGTTGCACAACCGGCAACTGCTATTGCATCTCACCACAAGGTGGCAGGTAACAGCTTAACTGCCTTTACCAAACTGCTGCCCCAGAATGGATGTAGAACAGGGGTGGGCAATTATCTGGCTGGCGGGCCAGGCCACTTAATGAGTTTTGGTAAGCTGTTGAGGGCTGCACACAAAATCAGAAGATATTATTTTAACAAATTATAGATAAAAAACAAATCCCATGCTAATCAAAAAAAATCAAAACAGCCACTACAACATATTTTAATTTTATTTGAAAAAATAAATATTTGTCCCAATTTACGTTTTTTTGAGTAGCATATATAGAGGCAGCATACCAGCTCAATATAATGCCTTACTCTTGCATATTATGTCTGGTATGTGGGGGGGTGGCATGGGGTATGTGTATTATGTGCAAGTGGGGGGGAAGGCTGCCCATGTGCTAGGTCCCAGGAGCTGGCTGGGGGTGTGGAGAGGAACAGAGGGGGGCAGGGGTCATGTGCAGCAGAGCGCTCCTGGGCAGTGCACATAGCAGTGTAATTACCACCTCCCCATCAACTGGGGCTGAGCCCCACCTGCTCTTGCCTGGGACAACCCCTGCAGCCACCTGGGTATTGCTCAGTTCCCCTGCCTTCAGCAGCTCCTCCTCCTCTGGCTCCTGCTGTGCTGCTCCAAGTAGGGGCAAAGGGAGATGCAGCAGAGCAGCTCCTGGCCCAGGTGTGCAGGGCTCCAGCTCCCAGCCATCTTCCACCCAATTGGCTGCCCACAGGTGGCACTAAGTGGGCTGAGTGGAAGGTGGCTGGGAGCTGGAGCCCTACCTGCTGGGGCAGGAGCAGCAGGGGCCAGAGGAAGAGGAGCTGCCGGAGGCAGGGGGAGCTGACAGTAGCTGGGAGGCTGCAGCCGCACCAAGAGTAGCTCCACTGGGAAGCTGTGCACAATGGTTGGGGCCATTAGGTGGGTGCAGAGCACAGGCTGCCCTGGGTGAGGCTTAGCCCCATGCAGTGCCTCACAGGGGCAGCTGTGGGCTAGGTCCAATCAGCTGGTGGGATGGATTCAGCCCACGGGCTGTAGTTTGCCCACACCTCCTGTAGAAAGACAAACTGGTATAACTTATCCCACTGACGTTTCACCCCTGATTCTTTCAGGGATAATCCTCATCTGGCTCAGGCAAAGTTATGGAATATGCACCACTATGCCTTCTTTTTTGTACTGGGTTAACTGGCAGGCCTGTAGTGTCTGGACAGGTTTAGTGTCTTGGTTGCAACAGAGTAAGGGTGGAAAATGACAAATAATATCCATGGGGCATTCCTCTATTCACAGTGAAACATTACTGTCCCTCCATCATGCTCAAAGAGTCTCACTTCATCACAAAATTTGTACTTACAAGTCCCGTTTGTTAAAAAAGAACAAAACTCCCAAAAGGACACTCATCAGGAATGCTAGACACACAGGTACGACTATGGCTTCAATTTCTCCCTTTCCTAAACAGAAGGGGGGGTGGAAAGAAAGATGAAGTTTAGTTCACATGCTCAACAGTAACCATTTTCAAAAACAATCAATCATTCAGAAAGGTAGGGAGTCTGGGGGCAGAAAGGGGGAAGAGGAGGAACCTATTACAGCCAGTACATGCAATGATTAGTACGTGGACCTGAAGACTTCACTACTCAGCAGCTTAACCTTGGTTGCATTCATACAAGCAATTGTGTCATTAAGTGGCGAGCTGTTCTGGAGATTTTACTCCTGATGGAATCAGGAGTAATTTTATACTGGATCAATGTTTAGGCACTTGCATGTATGTCATAGGTTGGTGGTCTGCTAGCTGCCTCAACAAGCTGCTTTCAACCCTGCCCCTACTAACTGCTCTGCAAGATAGGGCTCCCTTTTTTTGGTTAGGTGGTTTGCCTTTCCAGTCATTCAGAGCATCAGGTGGAACTGTGAAATAAAACAAGCAGTGTATCCTGCACATGCCACTTGCAACCTATTTACAAAGGCTTTGTCTATGTCATCACTCAGATCATGATTATTTATCAGTGTCAGGACTGCCCACAGCAGTACACATGCAAATGCAGTCACTAGCCTGGCCTCAACCAGATTTGCCACTTCAGTATCGTATAAGTTGTTGGTTATCTAGTTTGCAACCTCCCCAGCTATAAATAAGATGCAGCATAGCAACAAGCTAGCAAGTAAACTACTAAATACTAGTTCTGTAAGCCAGTGAGGTTTTATAACTCAGCATATCAGAGAGCATTGGTGGAAACCTAGAAAGACATCTCAGTCTTGGGAATGGCACCACAAATTGGTGACAAAGAAACAAAGGACTGCTATTGGTTGGCACTTGCAAAGTGTCTAGACTCTCAGAAACACCAGCACTCGGCTTTATAGTCTTTCAAGTTCCTCAAATGTCTCCATCAGTTGTAGAAGCTGCTGTGATAACATGAGAGAAACTGTACAGTTGTCATCACACTGCATATTTTAGCTTCCATTATTCTCCTCATTTGTCCTTAGATTACATATAAATATAATGTCAAAACACACTGGTACCCATATACATTAGCTTAACACTACTATGTATGTATTCTAACATTATTTCCATTCTGGCTGAGAATACACTGATTTTATGAACCTTTCTTTGAAATCATGGTCCTGATTTAGAGTGTGCACGTTACCACCATGACTGCAGGTAAACCTGGAAATTCCACATGGCAGTGACCATAACGCACCCAAGAGTGAATAGAGAAGTGTGTTGTTACCATACACAATAGTCCTACTCTAAGGCAAAACAACACAAAATCCTCATATCCTACCTTTTCCTCTCTGGTCATACTCTATTTATTATAACTTATAATTTAGGGTTACAAAGGGCTTAGAGGGAAGAACATTCTTTAAAATGCCTGTAAAGCACCTTGCACAACAAGCCTCTATCTGGTTTTGGAGCACTAGGATCACCATAGCTGTAGTTAGAAAACCATTTCATGAATCATTCTAAAACCAAGCCCCATAATCTGCATAATTAATTCTTACCAAACTTTTGTGTAGTAAATGTAAATACAGGACCACTTTTGCCTCCTACTTCTGTATATGCTGCCATCCGCACTGTGTACAAAGTGTCACTGGATAGGGAAGAGAGGGTATATTCCGTTTTGGAAGGATCCACCTTCACAGCTAGAAGATAAAGGGGAAACATTTTTACATATATTTTTGGTAGTTTAAATAAAATGGCTCCAGCTCTGCCGATTTACTGAATGTGTATACTACATCTATAAAAACAAGGCATCCAAGACAAAATTAACAAGACGTTTTGTGCATCAGTGCTGAAAGTAATTATGACAACGTAGGCCCACACAGGTATCCTAAGTCAAAACTAATAATTTAGTTTCTCTGTTCTGTATAAAAGACTTGACTCAGTGCTGGTCTGCACTTATCTATTCATATGTTCCAGAAAGGCACTGAAAAAGCTAAAGCCACTCTCAAACCCAACAGTGCAGCTGCACAGTGATGTTCAGGATAACGTATCTTTTAATTGCGATTCTCTAGCTCAGACTACTGTAGGAAAAGGGGTCTGACCCTTTTTTAAGGCCATTTAATTAGTTAAACCTATTTAACTATGACCTGCTGATAACCTGCTTGATGCCGACCACGGGATTTCACCAAAAAATTGTGATATCGGACCCTACTGTTGCTAAACTAGAGGATTTTGTTCATTATGCCCAGCAATTTTAAATTTTGAAATATTTCCATGATACCAGGAACAAGAGTGGATTTTAAGAATTATTTATCTTCGATGTTAAAATCATAGGCCTTATTTCTATTTTGGATTTGTTTAGCTTGCTTTTGTTATACCACTGCTCTGGGTTAAGCAGCTCAAGAATCAGATGTCTGATCCCTGTTCTAATAGTACAGATAGTACCGAGTCACCACTCAATCTTCTTTATGAAGGTGAGCTGAACACTAAGGTATGCTCTGGACCATTAAGCACTTAGAAACATTGTGGTTTTTTCTGCTGCCATAAGCAAAGCCATAGCCACTGTCTCCTTTCCACAGGCTTGAACTGCAGGCAGATTAAAAGCATGAAGCTTTTAGTCTTGCTTTTCCTTCTGGCAGTGATCAGTAACACTTCCAAAAGATAATAGTCAAAGAAATAAATGTTAATGTTAAGCTCTGTTCATGATTACCTGTTTCATTCCCACTGATAGTTTTGTAAAAGATAATGTAGTTTTTGATAAACCCATTTTGATCATTCACTGAGAGATGCTTCCATGTTAAAATAGCTTCAGTTTTTCCTACTTTTTTTGTCTGAATGGTTGGTCCTTTTACAGGATCTGTAAATGGAAGACCACAATTAGTGTATGTTAACGAGCAGCATATCATCAGTATAAAAAGTCTGGTCAACATTACCTAGAAGTTACCTACAAAATGCATTTTTTTGCTTGAAATTATAATATAGGTACATGGCAAATTCCTGGGTTCAACATGAAAATAAAGAACCAAAGTTTGGACAGTTAAAAATTATTTTTAAAAACTCTCTCTCCTATCCCTCGAAGGAAATAATGGCTAATCTGGAAAATGTAGAACTCAAAAGTCAACAAAGGGGGCAAAATACCCAAGTATAATGTGATGCAGTGGCAGGCAAAGCTAACTAAACTCTGGCGTACATCCACCGATGCATCTCAAGCAAAACCAGGGAAGTCATCTTCCCGCTTTACTTGGCCCTGGTGAGACCGCAGCTGGAGTACTGTATCCAGTACTGGGCCCCCCACTTCAGGAAGGATGTGGAGAAGCTTGAGAGAGTCCAGAGGAGAGCCACTCATATGATCCAAGGGCTGGAGGGAAGGCTGTACGAGGAGAGGCTGAGGGACTTGGGACTCTTCAGTCTAGAGAAGAGAAGGCTCAGGGGGTACTTGGTGGCAGCCTACAACTTTGTAAGAGGGGTATATCAGGACCTGGGATAACATGTGTTCACCAGAACTCCCCAAGGGATAACAATGTCTAACGGCCATAAACTCCAGGAAGGCCGATTCAGACTGGGTATTAAAAAAGCTATTTATAGTGCATGTATCCAGGGTCTGGAACTAACTCCCCCCAGAAGTGGTGCAAGCACCTACTCTGGATTCCTTTAAAAAACAAAAAAAACAAAACAGCTGGATTTATTTCTTGCTGGGGTCACTTGATCCCAGCTGACTTCCAACCTATGGCAGGGGGGAGGGGAGAGGGGGGGGCTGCACCCGATGATCTCTTGAAGTCCCTTCCAGCCCCTGATGTATATGAAATCTATAACAAGCAAACAAACAAATGAAAAAACTGCATAGAAATGCTAATTTACTGAAAAGTCAGAGAAAATTGAAAAGCACCAGATCATCTGGAAAAGGTACTACTAATCTTAAATTACTAAAGAAGATTAACTTTGGGAATCACAACCACTTATATTTACCATTTACACATTGTAAACTAGATCAAAATGCAGAGACGGAAGGGTATAATTTAATTTCTAAGGGGATGGCTGCACAAACTAAGGTAAGCTAGGGTGTGAATGCTTACTCTGCAATTAATGTTTACATGCATTCTCTTATCTCATGGAAAAATGTAAAATAGCTTATTTTTCCTTGAAATTGGGGCAAGTTACCGCAACCATTTACAGCATGCACACGGGCTGTTCAAACAGATTAACTGACACGTTGCAAGTTCATACCCTGGCTTACCTCAGAGCAGGGGTGGGCAAAATATGGCCCATGGGCTGTATCTAGCCAGCCAAAAGATTCTGGCCGGCCTGTAGTGGTTCTCTTGGCCCTGCCTGGTCCAGGTATAGATGCAGACCTGGGCCACAGTGTGTGTGGCCTGACCTGCTGCCCCTGGGCTTCCAGCAGGGCAGTGACCAGACTTGCTTCCTAGTACTCCCTGTAGCAGCAGCTCTTTCCAGCTGCTGCTCCAGATTTGGACCTGCTGCCCGGGCAGCCTGACCCATCTGCCCCATATCTACCACCAGGGGTGCTGCATGGAGTGGGTGGGCAGGGTCTTTATGGAAACTGGCTTGAGACAAACAGGCAGGATGCATGGCCAGGCAGATGGGATGGGGCTGTAGGTGGGTAGGAAACAGCATCCAGGAGCAGGATGGGCAGATGGAGCCAGGATCAGGATTGCAGGGTGGTGACAGTGTGGGGCTAGGGCCTTAAGCAGGGGATCGTGGCTGCCCTGGCCCTGTGCTGTCACTGCCCGGTGATCCCAATCCTGGCTTCACTTATTAGTAAGTTGAAGCCAACTCCAATTGAGAGCACCAAAACATGAACCTGGAAAGAATGATATAAGGAATAACAATTAAGGAACAGTCTACAAATTACCTTCAGGAATAATGATAAAAAAAAAAAGAGGGAAGAGTAAAGTGTAATGGGTAGGAAAATCTATGGATGAAGTTGAGAGGAAAAACTTTAGATTTAGGAAATACTTCTTGGTATCAAGAAAGGGGAACTGTTTAAAAGAAGTAGGGGAAGCCTACACTTTAAAAAGGTGTCTGAAAACTACATGCAGGAAAAAGCCATTAGCACAGTTAAGTATACAAGAGAGATACAATCTTGCACATGTGCATGGGGATGGGCCATGTGCCCTAGTAAGTCTCTCTCCACTTCATAGAAAGTCAGTCAAAAAGGTGGTTTATGACAGTTAGGGCTGGATCTTTGTACTTACAGTCCTGCTTAAGATAAGCTTTTGTAGATTGACCGTTTCCTTGACCATCAACATACAATGGATACACAGTTATCTGGTAACACTTGAATGGCTTTATATCTCCTAATGCAAGGATTTTAAAAGATAAAACACACATCATCAATACAAATTCATTTACTTGAGTTTAAAAAGTGCATTGGGAATGCATCTTAATTAGTTAAATGGTATCTTCCAGACCTATTACCAGTAAGCCAACCAAGAGACAAATCCAGGCCCAAAATTGTAATGAAAACAAAGTTCCACAAAACCTATTAACAAAACCATTCTTAAAAACAAATCTTGAAAGAATTTTAAAATGCAAGTCTCAGAAAGTATATTTTCTGAAATTTGGCAATTAAAGTTCAGTAATAGTGTGTTGAAAACCTAGGATTAGATGTGGTTTCATGCATTTCCTAATAAACTTTCATGCTATCATATGGTAATGTTTCAGTTTAAAAAACTTAAATATTCCCATAGTTTTGATTTCCTGTAAAGCCATATTTGACATTTCTGTACCAAAGCCAAATGCTAATCAACATTAGCAGCCAGTAAGCAACACGCTCTTCACACAGCAGCACAATACCTTCTCCCTCTTACTTACGGTTGGTAGATGCAGCAAACGCATTCAAAACAAACCAGCTTCTACCACATTCCAGTAAGGTTTCTTAAATTAACTACTCTGGGTTCTATAATCTCTACAATATTTTAACGTATTAAGTCAAATACCTTTTAGAAACGTGCTTTGAGAACTGCCAGGCTCCTGCTGCCATTCAGTGATATAGCTGGAATTATCAGACATCGCATACCATTCAATTACATACTTCATCACATGGCTGTTGGGAGCAACCCACTGTACCCACAGCCTGCCAGCATGAGGAGCTGCTTTAACGTTTTTCACAGAAGCTAAAATGAGAAAGAAGGTTGTTGGGAATAATTCATATACACAAGATCTCCAGTGCGCAAAGGCATTTGCGCTAGCTTTTTTGTGTAAGATACTGTTAAATCTGGCCCCAGTCTAAAGTAAATTAAGCCATCAATATTAGTAAAGCTTTACTAAGCACATAACAGCCACTTTGATGGAATTCCGTAGCACACACTTAAGAGCGATTAACCAGAGTTTTTCTGAATCTTCAAGGGCTAAACTAAATGTTTTTGGGTACATTAAAATTATTACTTGGCATATAGTACTGCCCTCTTGAAATGCTATCTAAACTTCCTGAAGTAAGTAACCACCTATCATAGAAAAGGTGATGCAATATCAACAGAAGAAATCAACAGTGGCAGATCTAGAATCAGACCTTAGTTCTTGGCTCCCAGCCTTGTGGACAAAACATGCCACTCACTTGATTCACTGCTGCTAAACAATACTAAATACCCTTCGTGTAACACCTTCTGATATTAAAAAGCTAGTACAACAAGGCTGAGGAAAATACTGTATTGTGTTCCTTCCCTACTGAAAGAGCCCTAGCTAGTACTTTATTGCTTTTCAGAAACAATGCTTCAGATCCTTTCCATACTGGTGGCTAACAGCAGCAAAAACAGTGGATGTTTCATTCACACCACTGCCTTTTATTTAACAAAATGGTCCTCAAAACTCTACAAACAAGGTGTGGTCCAAAGAGAGAGCAGCAAGTCATATGATGCTGCATTTCATTTCTAGCTTCTTGACCATTCAGCCCACTTAATGCAAAAGTCTGCAGACTGTAGTTGCTAGAAATAAGGAGGAGTTTAATTTTTCTATACCAGGTACTATTCCTACAGAATAAAAGGTGATACTGATTAATTACCAAAGCAAACTAGTAAGTGGAAAAAGTGAATGAATGCTTCCAGGCAGCATGTCTAGGGAAGTGGGGAGGAAAAAGACAGTGATAGGGCAGCATACGTGAAGGAAGAAAATAAAGAGGTGACCAAAAAGTACTGAAGGAAGTGCAAAGCAGCATAGAAGAGCACCAGATGGACAGCAAGGGAATAAATCCAAAGGAAAAAAAACCCACCTGTCCACTGAGAAAAGAATGCTTAATCTATTCAAAAATACACAAGTATTTTCATTTAATGGAGCAGTTGCTGCAGAAACATCCTGTGGTAGTACAGTCAATGTGGGAAAAGGTGAGAAAAACTACCCAGCTCTCAAGGTACAATTTATACAATTAAAGAAGTGACTGATGATTTGAGAAGGGCCTGTAAACAAGGCATGTGCATATTTATTCGGGTAATGTATTAGTTTAAAGCACCAAAAGTGTAAGCAGAAGCCATTATGCACTTCATGTTTACCATTACCTGTAACATTTAAAGAGCTTGTATTTGCAACTATAAAGAAAAAAGCAGCAAAGTAAGGCACTAACCTTTTGAGTTCCTTGCTGGGATAAGTAAAACCGATGCAGGAGATGAACCAATGCTGTTATGAGCAGTCACTGTTACATCATATGTCCCATTTGGTAACTCTAAAGTCAGGTTTGTGGTGTTAACGCTGCGTTTTTCAAGTGGTCGTGACAGAGGCGATCTTGCTTTGATAGTCACTTCGTAATGCAAGATTATCCCATTGGCTTCATAATGATCAAGTTCCTATTATAAAGTCGTTTACTTTTACTAATATTAAACCAAAAGTATTAAGCAGTCATTTAAGAGTCTTACAGATTACTGTGTTTTTTGTACGCACAATTCCTGTATGTTTCCATAATGTACACATAAGAAACAATCTTACCTTGAACATCTTACTTACACTAAAATCCCTACTGAAGTAATAAAATGTGTTACAGCTTTAGTGATAGTGATGCATTAGAATGCAAAATGACATTAAATAAACTTCAGTTCTTCAGAAATAAGAATCAGACACTGCCTCTGTATTTGTAATATCCCTTCCTTTCAGCTATACCAAAATCCTAATCGTAATTTAGGAGACACAGGGCTGGAAGGATGAGAGAACAGATTAGAAGAAAAAGTGGCACATCAATTCTGTACAAGACCTCTCAGTAAAGTCCTTAGAAGGGGTGTGTTGCAGTGCAACTGTAATTGATAATGACAGGAAGAGTAATACTACTTTAGAATAAATAGTTGGTGTTCTCTCCTCTCCCAATAGAGCTAATAATAGATAAATTAAAGAGGAGAGAATATTGTTCATAAAAGCACTGCATTGGCATTATACTGAACCTAAGTGGATACTAACTAATCTAAGGTTCTTGCAGAGGAATGCATTTTCCTTACTACTGCAGGAAAAACCATGGTCCTTTTATTATATGACAATCTGACCTATATGTTTCATATTTGGATTTACCAGTTTGTAATCCAATAAAATAAACAAGAGTAAATAATAGCTCCTAAAGCTCCGATTGTGTATTCCAGTTGTTGGCAACTCCCAGCATGTGCGCCAGAGTATGGCATGTGAGACCATTTTGCTTAGCACGCCACAGCCAGCCTGGGCTCTTAGCAGCTGTTGCCAGCCACGTAGGCTGCTGGCAGCAGGTGGCCCGGAGGCTGCAAGCCCGGCTGTGAACAGCCCAGGCTCCGGGGCTGGTAACAGCTGCCCAGAGCCTGGGTTGGCTGCAGCTGGGAGGCTCCAAAAACAACTGGACTAGGCTCCAGAGCCCCGCTTAGACTCTGGTGGCAGTGGCTGCACGCATGCCTCTGGGCAGACAGTGCGGGAGGGACCTGGAGCATCTGGACCCGGCCATGATGCGTAGCTGGCATAAAGAGAACAGTTTTTGTCTGAGATTCTAACCAGGCCCTCCGCTGATGTCCACCCGGAGCTGCTCTGGAGCACCAGCTCTGTGCGTCTGTTTGCAGCCTGCTGGCTGTTTGCTACAGCTGCCCAGAGCCTGGGTTGGCTGTGGTAGGGAGCCAGGAGGCACTGGCACTGTGGTGGCAGTTGCATGTGCGCCTCCAAGCTGACAGCAGGAAAGGACCCAGGGCCCCTTCCTCACCATTGCCTGTAGGCATATATGCCCCTGCCAGCTTGGGTTCTGGGCAGCACTGTACCACCAGGCTCTGGAGCACCACCACTGGTTCGATGCTAGCAGTGACTGCATGTGCACCTCAGGCTGCAAGGTGGGGAAGGGGCCAGGGTAGTGCAACTCTGGCTCCTCCCCCAATGTCCGCCTGGAGGAGTGTAACAAGGATTGGGCCCCTTGCAGCTCCCCAGCAGCCTGCCCCTGGTACACCAAGTCGAGGCAAGGGTCAGGGCATGGGCAACTGGTGCCTCTTGTGGGGTGGGATGTTGGTATCCCACAGCCAATCCCGCTGCTGACACTTCCAAGTGAGCCCCCACTCCCTGGATGGTGCTTGGGGGGGAGGGAGGGGGCTGCAGCACCAGTGCTCTCACTTGCCCCCCCCTGCCCAGGAACACTGGCTGACAGGGGATGTACTGGTGCTCTCCCCCTCCCCCCACGTGCGTCACCACTGGGTCAGGACTGGGGTATTTTTGGCACTCCAACCAAAAATGTTGCCGACTTCTGATGTATGCTTTTGAATGTAAAACCTTTCTTCCCTTCCTGGAGAGATCAGACTGACATCTGTTAGTTGGAAGTCAGATTCTCAGACAGAAAATGTTCTCTGTATGCCAGTTACATGTCATGGCTGTCTCCAGATGTGCGTGGACGTTTAAATCCCTAGGGCCCAATAGTGGCATCATACCTTGCGCTGCCACTAGCTGTCGCTCAGGAATGCCTGTGCCATACATTCTCTGGCATGCAACAAATTACCCCGGGTGGGTAGGGGAGCTTGAGGCCAGCACTGTGCTAGCCCTAGCAGCCTTACCTGGGCTCCTGGGGGCCTTTTGGGGCTGCAGCGGCGGCTATCCTGCTGCACAGAGCCTGGCTAGCAGTAGAGTGTGGCTCTGGTCAGCCAGGCTCTGGCTTCAGATGGTGCATGCTGCTGCTGCTGCTGCTGCTGCTGCACGTGCTGCTCTGCTTTTCTTTTCTGTTTCTATCATGGGTTTTTTTGACCCCTGTATATGCAGAGGTCAAAAAACCCTCTGCACTGCTCCCTTGCAACATGGAGAACAATTGAACATGCAGTATGTGGCACCGCAGACACATCTAAACTAAATGGCCACATCCAGATCACATAGAACGAGAGACAATAGTTGTATTTTTCTATCCACACTTGTACACATGAGCATGTTCATGAAAATACCAGTTGTGTCATATAGAAAACTTGTGTCACGTACTGGTCATTAAAACACCTGGACCACTCTAATAAATCTATTCAAGTTCTGTTAGGTGATGGAATTGATTTGTTTTCACAGAAAAATAATGAAATTGAAAAACAGACAAGCCTTAGCCTTTTGCAAGTCTAACACACATTTTTAACTCCTCTGCTAACCTTCCACATGAGGTGCACAATCCAGGAAGCTGGTGAGCGAGAAGTATCTATCTTCCGCCATAGGGGTGGCCCTTTAGATGGTCCTGATGGGCGACAAATAATTAAAATATATATGGATATTTTCATTTTATTTTAAAATGATATTCACTTTATCACTACCTTCCTGTATCCAACTCAGATCACATTTTCACTATGTCCTTGAAAACTCTGCAATACTACCAAACTACCCCCGCAAACGCTTAAAGATGGTTGTCTGAAGTGCTGAGCCATTCTGGGCAGGGTCCTCATGGTGTAAAAAGACATCTTTAAGAAGGCAACCTTCTAGAGTCTTCAGGTATTTTTACTGGTTGTCATCTCAAAAATTATTCCAAGTGAGATCTATTTTAAATAAAGTTTTTAAAATCACTGCTACCACTATTTCTTGTAAGTGAGCATGCCACATTACATGCATGTCTGTCTTAATGCATTTATAACCACCTTGTAAGATGGAATGGTCCTTAAATTAAAAAAAAAAATACAGTTGTACACCCTTCCCTGTTCTCTCTCAGGAAGGGAACATTGTACACACTCCCTTGCTGAACACTCCAAACAAACCAAGGCATAAAACTTCTATCCCAGCCAAAAATAATTTAAAGCAACACAAACAGCAGGAAAACACTGCTAACATCTTCCAAACGAAATATACGTGCTGTATTATCAAAACCAAACACACACTATAGCCTGTTTTTAGAACTTGGTTTTCTAAGAACTGCTTATTAGAAGTTTATCATAAGCCTCTTCTCCAGACTTGGCTGTTCCAAGCATTAATAGTTTAGTATCAGAAAAAAGTGGGGCTGGAAAGTACCTAAGAAGGTCATCTAGTCCCACCCTTTACTCAAGGCAGAATTATCCCTGTTTAAACTATTCCATACAAATATTTGTCTAACCTCTTAAAAATGTTCAAGGATGGGGATTCCACAACCCTTCTATGTTACCTGTTCCAATGCTTAACCAAACTTCATAATTAGAAAGTTCTTCCTAAATTTTTCTTCCTGCATTTTAAGAGTTTTCTTATCCGTTCCCTTGCAGCTAGAGAGAATCTATTACAATCCTCTTATAAGCATCTGCCAGGTATTTTAGTGGAGTCAAACATATGGCCTGCGGGGCTGCTCTACCCAGTCTGCCAAGCTACTGGAATTTGGGGGGCATGAATTCCCAAGGACCCCAGATTCTCTGGCTCTTGACAACTGGTGAGAAAAAGGGTGAGCGAGGGCTGACACAGCCCAGGTCATGCTTTGGTCACTTTGCCTGTCACCACTACCAAGGCCCAACCTCCATGGCTGCCAGCAGCTGGCCCCTGTGGGGTATGCAGTGAGGACCAGAGTTGCTGCTGTGTGGCCTGGGTCAGACCCAGAGCTGCTGACACTGCTTCTCCTGACAAAGTGAGTTTGACATGCCTGGTCTATTTAAAGAGATCAAATCCTTCTTTGTTCTCTTCTATAGACTAAATAATCCTCAATACCTAGATCCCTTGTATTAAGCTATTTCAGTCACCTTTAGGAGTAGCTGGTCATGTAGAATATTTAGATCACATGATTAAGTGAGAGGAACCCAGTTGAATTTCCCTCATAATCAATGCTTACAAGGGGTACACCGTTTCAGGCAGATTATATATGCTCATGCATGACAATTTGTGTTGGTTTAGGTAACTGGGCGTTACTTTCAGTTCATAACTTACTATCTTCAATTGTGACCCCACTCTTTTCTTCACTCCAGTCACTCCAATAGCCCAGTCCATCTCTCTTCATACACCGAAGCGAAAACACATACTCTGTGTAAGGCTTAAGGCCTTGAACAGTGAACGAAGTTCTTGTGGAAGCTGTATCTTCAGGTGGAACCTGTGATGAGAAAAAAGTCCTCTAGTGTTACTGACCAAAAAGCAGGATCAGTTAAGCTCTATTTGTAATGCACAGTACTTAAGTCATTAGTTGAAATTTTAGCTATTATTCTGCCCTTTTGACTTCCATGTGTTTTTATTAGCATGAAACTAATTTTGGTGCAAAATATATTGTGTCTGCAAAGCGTGTGTGCGCGCGCGCCCACAGACACAATATATTTTGCACCAAAATTAGTACACACACACACAGGAGGCATAAATGAACAGTTATTTACCCATGTTCTAGCCCATCTCATTAATTCTAATTTTCTACATTCCAAATGTCTTATCAGTTTTCCGTCGAGGTTCTTTGGGTAAATGTGATATCTTTTATTCAACCAACTAAATAATTGGAAAATTATTCTTTGCAAGCTTTTGGGAACAAACACCCTTCTTCAGGCAACAGGGAGAAGAAAACAATTTCTCCAATTATTTAGTTGGTCCAATAAAAGATATCACACCTACCCAAAGAGCCTTGTTTGCCTATGTCAGTACACCAACACGACTACAACTAAAACCACCATTATCAGTTTTCATGCATCTCATGTTTTTCGTTAATGAAAATGCATGACAGCAGTTTCCTCGTCCCTCCTCAAAAAGTTATGTACGTTTAGGATACTTCTTCATCATTCCCTCATTGCTTTGCCATTTCTTATAAAACATGGCCACCCCTAATTCATACAAATCCTACCTGAAACATGTGTTAACTAAAGTTTTTTGTTAAGATTTGGAATGCTGTATTAAGTGAAAACCTTGGAGTTACTTGCCTTTATTACCATTCACATTAATAGCCATATTGCTGCAGTGGCAAACAGAAAAGAGTTTGCATTTCTCCCTGAAAATATTATCCTTTGAATAAATCAACAGCACAGAACCTGAACAACATCTACACTACAAGCATCATGTCCTGCCATTTAATTTTTACAACATGGTTCTTCTTCCTGACCACTGACTGCAGATGAAATCACTGGAACAGAAAGCAAGCAAGTAGGAAAACCTCAAAATGTTACTGTGATCATAATGCTCATATATTTGTATTATGTGTATGACTTGGCTCATATGTTTATACTCAAGAGTAGACATGGAAGAAATGAGGCAGTCCAACATGCAAATTCTAGGACAGCAAACCTGCTGAGCTAGCCTACATTAGCCATTGGGAGTTCCTCACATGGGAAGAGAATGGCTGCGAGTTTAATAAGCTCGCTTGGAACCCTCAAGCACTGTTCAAGTGTTCCTCAGTAGGTCAAACTTCCAGCTGAAATTAGAGGAAAAAAATTTACTTCGCTATTCCTAGAAAAGCTACCTTTTTGCCTAAAGTTTGTTTTATTTAATGTTATGTTTATGGTGATCTTGTGCATATACTGAAGGGAAAAGACAGACTACCGAGATCTGAAACAAGACAGCTAAGAGCTGGTATTTACCAAGGGGTGCCTTACGTCTAAAAGGGTTAAGAATCACTGCATTAAAACATTTCAGGTAACTTACTTCCATCCAATCTGGGCTGTCACTGATCTTGTATAGAATATTGAATTTCAGCTCCATCTCTGCTGGTATAATTCGATTCTCCCATGACAGTTTCAACACAGTGGGTAGTACTCCTGAAGTGACTGATAAATTCTGTGGAGGCAGAGGTTTCACTAGAAGAAAACAAGTTAGTGAATCACCCAACATAGTACTGTATTACTTCACATATGGTTTGAAGCATGGCGTTTATATACTTGACATTTTTATAGCTTTGGAGATTCATCTATTTTCCTTTATTTTGTTTTTAAATCTAAAGAGTCTAGACTAATCACCAACAGTAAGAATGATTAGGGGGAAAAGAAAAGAAAAAAGAGAAACACTGGTGTACTGGGGAAGAGCTGAATGATATCAGCAATTTTCCTCCGTCAGAAACAAAGAGGCCAGATTCTAGGTCTTAACATACAGCTACTCAAAACATATGCTATGGACTGCTGCTAGTATAAATGCAACAACAGCACTCTTTCTGCTTAGAGAATCTTTTTTAGTGGCTTCTACAGTAACACTCCAATCTTAGAGGAACTTGTTTTGGCCATCGCTGTACAATGGCAATGTGCAGCTTCCAGCAAAGCCAATCAAGAGCAACTGGCAGATGCAACAAGCTATGCTGGTGACTGGCCTGGAGTGTGGCCAACAGTAAAAAGTCAATGTTATTTCACTCCAAAGACCTGTGCCCAGCACAGCTCATGATCTAATCCATAGGATGTTACTATTCTGATTACAAATCTCTACACTGCTGTCAACTATAGAAAGTATTTTACAATGAAACAAATGTTAATTGTACTTCGTCAGCAACAATTGTTGTGGTAGTTAATTCTCTTGTATTGCTCCAGCATTCAAGTCTTAAGCAGAACTACACAATTACCCATGTCTACAGGATCAAAAAGAAGGTGCTCAGATTCCATCATCCCAAGATCATTCTTAGCTTCCACCCAGACATCCAGGTTAACAAAGAACTGGACATCAGGAATGAGACATGAATTATTTACAACTGCTGCTTTGCAGTCATTAAAGGTTTCTTGAGGCCTAAATGAAAGGAATAAAAACAAGGCTTAGAATAGAGCGTTTCTATGAACCACTCTCCATTCCAGGATCTCAAAAGTGATTTATAAACATGGAAGAAGTAGCCCCATAATGAGAGGTTAAACATTCTTATTTTTCTTCAAGGTTAGGGGTAACTACAAGTCTAACAGCCTTTAATTCTGTAGTACATAACTATTTTTTAAAGCTACAAGTACTACTTGAAAAAGAGACTAAAACAAAATATTTAAAATGAAGCTTTAACCAAGAATCAGAATACTAGCTGTATTTCTCTAGGGTTAAGTAACCTTTAATTCATTAGGTTAGATCATCATTATTTTTTCTATTATAGTTTTATTCCTCTTGGTCAGCAGACAATACATGGCATTTGGTCAGCATCTCTGACTGTTTACAATAGTGTCGGACTGAGACGTGGTATGGAGGGAACATTAGCAACGCTAAAACTGAGGTAAAACACAGCATAACAACTTAAGTCCAATTCAAATTAGTACTATAAACAGCCTGTATTGATCCAGTTCTACAGTAAAAGACTTCTCATTCCTATGTATTCTGTCTTGAAAAAATGTACACCTGAGGTAAGCTGAAGTGGTCCTCAAACAATCCAAACCATACACTGCAGCAGGTCCAGACATTTAGATGTACTAATTTATAACTCAAAATACTTCTCTCAAACACTTTACAAACTCAGAAATTAAAAATACTGAGTCTTTTTTAAGCCTACAGAACAATACCTGCCTGTTGCCGAGATACTCACCATCGAGTTCTTAACCAGAATTCGGTGTCCAGGAAAGTAGCTCGTCCAGGATTCCAGGTACAATTCATAGAAAATCTACTTCTTGATGTTTGATGCACAATGCAACTCAAATTTTCAGGTTTCTCAGGGGGCACTGCATTAAAAAAATACTCATGTAAATTCAGTCGTACTGAGGCATTTCAGTCCAATGAAAAAGCAGTGATAAAGCTGAACTGTCCTCAGAACAACGAACATTTAAAGAAAGTACTCATCTGCTGTTGTATTTAGCAGGAGATAAATACGAGGAGATGGTACATGTCATCTCGTAAATGCACTGTAATGCACAGATGTTTTGAGTAAGTCTGCAGTAGTAGGAGTATGCAACTTGGAAGAACACAAATCTGGGATGGGGTAGAGCAGAGCTGTCCAACAGGAAGCCTCTGAGCCACATCTGGCTCCTGCACCCAGGGTTAAGCCTAACACATCCTATAGAACATTTGACATAGCTATAATTTGTCATGTCTAGCAACACCCTGAAATTAACATAGGAGAATGCAGTTTTAAAGCATATTAGCTGATAGAACATGTTGTTCTTATGCATAAGTGAGGTTATAA